TGTAAATAATTAGGGCAATTAGTTAGTAAAGTTCTGAAAAGACCCCGAGACTTTTATTTCAAGAAACATAAACACTTGAGCTTAATTTATGAGTTAGTCAGGGTGATAAGCAAGCCACCCCAAGTTGACCGTGAGAACGACGCCTTCGAATCTGCATATGAGTTTTTAGTCTTCACCCACACTTTAGAGGGGTAGCTTGAAAGTTAGCAAAGTGTAAAAGTGTAATTAAGTTAATTAAAGGTGAGTTTGTCACTGAGTAATCTGGGTTCCATTGGTGTGAGTGAGTTTGTCACTGAGTAATCTGGGTTCCATTGGTGTGAGTGAGTTATCACTGAGTAATCTTGGTTCTATTGGTGTGTGATGTCTTCCAATCCAGTAAGGTGTAGAGATTTATGATAATTACCATATCAACGGTAGGGTGAGTCGTTTAATAATTATTTTGATTGCTGTGATGCTGATATTTATCATTGTTGATCACATTCGTCAGAAACCTGTGTGAGTATTGAGTACAGTATCAAACTGTAGTTGATTTGATGCACTATAAATCAGTTGATGGTATTTAATTTGATGATATTGAAGTTGATGGTATTTGATGAGATTGATATTTAAATACTTGAATTGATAATTGATGAATATTATTGAGTTGAGCCCCGACATGTCGAGCTAAACTGTGTTAGTCTGTCTATTCCTTATTAATCCAAGGTTAAGCTTGAGGCGGGGCGGCGTACTTAAATGCCCATTGCACGCCGAGATTAACCCAACAGGGGARGCTGGAGGATCGCGGCGTCGTGAGGCCTCCAGGTCTGGTTTCTGTTTGTTTGTGGACACGGGAGATCACCGGTAGCTGCGCTCATTGCACCCCCAGGTCTAGGTTGCAGAATAGGTCGTGGGGAGGGCGCTGAAAGGTGGTCATTGCACTTGRTCGTGGTCCGGGATACGGCTTCGGCCATGAGGTTCATAGGAACCGCCCCTTGGAMACGGCTGAGGCCATGAGGTTTATAGGGACTTGTTCACCACCTGCACTATGAAGAGGGCCTCCATTGCASGCTCAGGGCTATGTGTGATTAGCAGTTGAGCAGGTTGGCCAAAAAGGTGTTCATTGCACTGCCCGGAACCGCCCCTTTGATACGGCTGCGGCCATGAGGTTTATAGGGACTTGTTCACCACCTGCACTATGAAGAGGGCTTCCATTGCACGCTCAGAGCTATGTTTGATTAGCGGCTGAGCAGGTTAGCCAAAAAGGTGTTCATTGCACTGCCCGGAACCGCCCCCTTTTTATGTTGGTCATAGGCGAGTACCATGAACATAATATCCATTGCACGCTTGGTGTTGAATGACTTTCGGGTCTCGAAGTAGACGCTGGACGGATATTACCGGGGTACTCATTGCACAGCCTAAGACAAGTGGTGGATGACAAGGCAGCGTTGCCTATTGCACGTCAGAACCGCGAAGTGGTCTCTCGATTGCTGCTGGTCCAGAGACAAGTGGCCTGGATGGTATCTATGAGCAAAGGGTTAACCCTTTCACCTGGTTTTCTCTATGCTTCTGGAGTCCTAATTGACTAGGACCGCGACGGTTAGCCTTTTAAACCCCTTGGACAGAGCTCAACCGATTCTATTCGAAGAACATATTTTATTGTTGATATATGTGCATAATTAGTTTGACTTAATCACTGTTGTATTTAACTATTCACGAATTATGATTGTGGACCTCTCACTCCGGTGGACTGGATTACTCACACCCCCATTTTATTTTTACAGGCGTTGCCTTATCATTAAATGATGACCTGACCTCGACACCTTGGCACCACCTGTCCTGACAGGATTATTTCAAAGTGGTTGAGTATTTTCAAAATTATTAAAGTAGTGAGTTGTTAAAATTGCCGCCGGCCTAAAGTAATCTTCCTGACAATTGTTAATTGCGTTCCTTTCGCAAATTTAGCTCACCAACGGCCATTGTAATGAATTTTGCGCGTGTTCAAATCAGCTTTAACTTTGTGTCTCAAAAATGGCCCTACAATTATTTGATTTACTACGTTCTAAGTTAAATTAACAAGTAAAAAGTGGGTAAACCCAAAATGAATATAATCTAAATCTAATCTAAATCTAAATCTAAAACTAGTGAGTGCAATTCA